TAATAATAATAATAATAATAATAATAATAATAATAATAATAATAATAATAATAATAATAATAATAATAATAATAATAATAATAATAATAATAGTAACAATAATAATAATAATAATAATAATAATAATAATAATAATAATAATAATAATAATAATGCAACAATAATAGTAATAATAATAATAATAATTGTTATAGCAATAACAATTATAACAGTAATAATAGCAATAATGAAGTAGCAATGTTTAAAGGGTTAATGTAAAATTGTTGACTTCAATACTAATTTGAAATAATTCAACTATATCTGAAGCAGTTTTCGAATTTTGTTTGCTTCTGCGCATATCATTTCTCTTCCAATGAAAAAAAGAAAAAAAAACGACACTTCTTTATTGGGATTTTTTTCCATTAGTCTGAAGCCTTTCTCATTGTCATCATTTCATTAATATGAATTTTAGCATTCAAAATTTAATTGTGGAATAATAAAACCTCTACAGATTTTCAATTTCTTCCTTCTAATCTCTTTCTTTTAAATTTTTTTCAAATAAAAAATGAAATCTGTATGCTTTTATTAAATCTCCAAAAGAAATATCGACAAGGAAATTTTCAGCTATTTATGCTTCCAGTCGGGGTTTCTCATCTATTTGCAATGTAAGTGAAGAAAAAAACAAAGACTCATATTGTGAAAAGAATGACTACCAATTTCAAAACCACCAGTTCTAAATCAAAATGATTTAGAAGTTTTCCATTTGCTAAAAATTGTAAGGGAAATATGTAAATTAAATCCATTTTAAAATAAAAATTTTTTTTATTTAATTGCAGGGAAAACTACTCCTGGAGTTTTCTTTGGCGTCATTTATCGTATCAACGTTAGCGATTGGATTTGTCCAACCGTTGACACCGTATTGTGTGGTGAAACCCATAAATGTAACTACAAAATGTTTCTATCTTGAACCAGCTGGACAAATCATTCAAGGTGGTGCATTAGGTTATTTGAAAAAAGCGACCGAAATTGGCCGAAAAAAACGGGATACCTCTCGTAAGTGTCATATTTATTATCCAAAAAGCATTCGTAACTATCGAAAAAACACATTTCCATATGATAGGGTAAATGAACAAAAATACTTCTAATTCAATAATTATTTACAAGTTTATGGTTTATTCAAATTTGAGAACTAACGAACTTTACAAAATTGGTTATATAAATCTTTTGTTAGTGATTTAAGGACATCCTTATTTCAATTATGCATTATTTAGATTTAAATAGCAAGTGCATTAGCAGGCATCAAATATCGCATCACTTTTTATTTTATCGATTGAGACAAAATTTTAATCAAATTTAAAACTTTTTGATTTTGTGACATACGCCAATTAAAATTGTAAAGCCTTCGCTTTGCTTTGTTTTCGATTTTTTTGTTGTTCCTTCAGTTTTGCTTTTTTTTGAAAGTTTTTTAAATATTTAAAAAAGGGTTTTCTTTTCTTAGGAATAAATTGTCGATTTTTAGCTATTCTTGAGACAATCATTGATCTGAGCTCTTACAACAAGGAAGATGATGTTGTACCGGGTCTTTCACCACTTGCTTTAACAAAAGATAAGGTAACAAGCATCATCACATTTGCATAAATTTTTTAATAACACAGTTTATTTCAGCTTGCAAAATTACTTAAATTTTTTTCAAATTTATTCGTTTATAATACTGAACTATAAAAAGCCGATATGATCAAGAAATTTGTCACAAATTGATGCAAATATTTGGGGCATATTTAACCCAAGTACCAATAAATCAACATTTACTACCTTATTGTGTGATGTACATTAATCATATCTTATAGTCTTATAATTTATGGTAGTATTATTAAGAATTTCAGGAAATACATCGCAGTTCGTTCTTCATAAGATTACAAACTAGTTTGAAGAACTTATTGGCTTTTCCTTAATTGACAGTTAATAAGTTTATGTGACAATTTACAAAATAGAACCATGTGTAAGCTTATTTTTGATGGCTTTGATTTTATATAATCTAAATTTTTGTTTTACTTTATATCATACAGTGCAGTATATTGCAGGTATGTAATTATGATGAAGATTTATATGGTGTTTTAGTTAGTCCACCTCACAGTACACGAGTTTATCGTAAACCAGCCGTAGAACAAGTAAGCGTTAGATACTTCTGTTCGAACAACTATCTTCGCTACAGTAATTACTCTCCGTTAAACTAATGCATAAATCTTCATTACAGTAATGAATTAGTAGATTAAGGAGAAGTTAAAAGGAGTAGAAAAATTAGTGGTTAAATTAATTTTATCAAATTTTCTTATCTAATTATAAGATTGAAAATATCTGAGAAGAAATTATCATCAAAACAAGCAGTTCTCATAATTTATAATTGATGCAGTAGGAACTACGAAGAAGATGACATTTAATTTCCTTCCTTTATTCATGTCCTCCTCTCTTCCTCGTTTCTTTTATCCTCTCCTCTCCCTTACCCTTATCTTTTCCCAAATTTATCTTATAATCAGCGAAACTGCTATGTTTTATTAATCACAAAAATTATTCTATCCTTAAATTATGGAAGGAATTTTTTAAATATTTCAAATTTGCAAAAAATTTTTTTTCACCTAAAAATTCATTACCGGAAATTTTTGTTCACAACCTGAAATAATTGGATTATTCCTTCTTTTCCTGTTGCTGTTAGCTTTGTTTCTTCCTTTTTATTTTAATTCCATTTTGTTAGGGAAAACAAACAAAAGAGTCAAAACTGAGATTATAAGTAAGCTAATTAATTAGTCACAGTTTTGCTTCTCTTTGTTTGAAATTGAATTTTGAATCTTCAATTTTTCTAATTTAATATGTCATTCAATAGTATCATGTATCAGTTTATTGCATTTCCAGGTTTTCCTTCTCCTACTACTGCTTGTCATTTTGGGAGAATTTTTCAGTTCACCGAGTCTTGCTTTAGCAGATAGCGTTACATTAACTTATGTATCCGATAATCCAAAACAGGTATCACAGTATCCATCTACTAGAATTATTCTTTACAGCATTCATAAATAATTATTAATATGATGTCAGTAGGATACATACATATTTTTATGATAATTTCAAGTATATCAGTTTTGCTCTTTGAAAAGCTAAAAAAATCACGATAAACATTTTGAAAATTAAATTATAAATTATTTTAAACAAATTTGGAATGTAACTTTCTGTTGAATGACATCATTATTGTATGGAATTAAAAAAGAAAAAATACATACTTTCAAATTTTCATCCGTTTTTTTAACCATTTCAGATACAAATAATAGAGATTTTTCAATTTTTTCCTTTTTCTTGTAGTTTGGTATAATTCGGCTTTTCGGAAGCTTTGGATGGGGTTTGGCAATGTTTATTATGGGCATCGGTTTGGATTATTCGGAAACTTTCCGGAATCATCCATGTCCGACGAAGAATACCACCGAAAAGAACTACACATTATGCTTTATCGCATATTCACTATTTATGTTGCTGCAATGCTTATTGGTAAAAGCAAAAGTTGCAATTTGATGAAATTTTAATAAAAGGAAAAACAAATAAAAAAAAGAATGACAGAACTGTTTGTCTTTCATTCTTAGCAGTTTTTTAAGGCATAATTCGAGCTATAAATTTTATGCAATTTGCATAAATTTCATTGGAATTTTTGTATTTACAAAAGTAGAATTTTGTTAGCCACGCAGTTTCGTTTTGGTAATGAACAACGTCCGGATGAAGCAGCTTGTACGGTAATCGAAACGCGAATTGATGAAATTGCTCCAGCAGTAGCAGAAAAAGCTCGAGTAAGACAATTACAGGTATATTTAAGAAATAATTCTAATTCATATTTGTTAAATTGATTATTTATCTCGTAACAATTTATATTTCTACCATTTTTTCAAAAATAAATTTTAAAATTATTCGTCAGGAATCTCCTATCAGTTTTTATTGTTCCAAATAATAAATCACTCATTTGCTTTATCACTAATCTTTTATCTATCATTGTATTTCATTAAAGTTGGACCATTCGGAAGGTAATGCACAATGGATTCCAACTATCAAAGCACTGTTTCGTGGCCATGCGGCATTTTATTTGTTAGCCGTTACGACAATTGGTTTTGGTGCTGGAATTATTTTTGCTTTCCTCTTTTGGCATTTGCAGGTTAGAAGAAAAATTTCTTCCTTTATTTGTTTTGGAAAAACACTTTGAAAAGTAATTTTTTTTAAAAATTAATATTTATTTTTAGATAAGGCTCTAATGAAATGTCTGAAAGAAAAACATCAAATGAATGGAAAATGAATCTAATATGGAAATATATTCGGAATAAATGTCTAATTCTCTAACATGCACATAAATAAAAAATCACTTTGAAAAGTCAAATTACGTGAATTTCAATATTTCACATTGTTTATAGAATAAATATAATATCGAAATAAAGGAATTTCCACTGCTTAATAATATTTCCAAAATTTTCGTATTTTGCCGAGAGATTACAACAACAATTTAGTTATTTAAAAAATGCCCTAAAAAATTTTGCAAGGAAACATGTAACATTAAATTTGACTCCGTGTAAGAAAGGACTCTCTTTATAAAACATTGAAAAATTATTGCAGGACTTTGGTGGTTCGCCAATTTTGTTCGGTTTTGCATCGGTAGTGAATCATGGAACCGAAATTGCAGCCCATTTTTACTGCTTTCAATTGATCAATAAATTTGGCCACATCAAGGTAAATTAAACAACTAGGATTAATTAAAACGAGTGGACATAATTATGGAATTGAGTATGATTATGAAATATATTATAAAATATTAGAATTGAAATATTGAAGTATAAAAAGTTAAAAAAGTAGAAATTAGAGAAAAAATGGCAAAAAATAATAAGATCATATTTGTACTTCATCAAATAATTAATGATTATCATTTTGTTAAATTCAACAGTAGTGATCTGAACTAATATTTCGATTAGAAAATGGCACCGTATCTTTCCAACAATTTCACAGAACATTCCCTCTTATATTGCTTCAATTTACAGCTAATAAATATTTGCCTATTAGCTAATGTAATTCGTTTCTTCATAATTAGCTTACTCACAAATCCATGGATGGTACTTCCGTTGCAAGCATTACAAGGTTGTCTTACTTTTTTCGTTTTGGAATTTCAATACATTTAATTTAATTTGATATTATGAAATACTTTTCGATTTACTAACTTATGCAAATTTTCTTGCTTTATTGTTAGGTTAAACAAATTTAGGAAATTTAAGAGATTAAATAAATTTAAGATCAAACAATCGAATGTTAAAATTTGGTAAAAAATTTTGGTGTTTTATAACGACAAAAAAAATTTTAAAATTTAGGTTTTTAGGTTTAACTTTAGCAACAACTTGGGCATCGGCATCGTCATACATTTCACTCATTGCACCATCACAATTGAAGCGAACGGCACAAACTTTGCTAATGCTTTTATATCATGGTATTGGAAAAGGATTTGGAAGTATTATTGGCGGTTGTATAATTAAATCTGCCGGTAATATGTTTATACACATATTATTTATTGATTTTATAAAGACGATTTTTTTGCAATTTTTTGTGTAAATTGAAAAAAATTTTTCAAAAACTTCATCAAATAATGAAATTGTCATTAGGTATGACAATAATAATCATCATCTAATAAAACTACATCCTTAATATTGTAATTTTAATCTTTACTAACAATAATAAACATTCTAATTTAAGTTCGTAAATTTGCGCATTACTTAAATTCATATTTCAGGCACACGGCTAACATTTCAGATTTATTCGATAATTGCAGTAATCATACTGAGTATACATTACGGAATGAATCGATTATTCAAATATGACGATATTAAATACAGTCATGAATTTGATGATGATGATGATATGCCTGTTGGTAAGGATCATTCCATCTTTTCATCGTTTTTTTAAAATTTACTCTATAATTTCGACTCGAAACCTTTCGATGACATACTGTATTATTAAAATATTTTATTGTTATCAGAAATATTATCATAATACATTATCGAGCATTTGTATAATAAAAAGAACTAACAGAACACTGGAAGAATGCTGCTATACTTTAACCCTTTGATGAAATGATATTTATTAAAAAGAATTCAAAATCAATACAATTGTAGAAGAAATTAAAAAACAATGGGGAAGTTAACTTTGTAATTCTAGTAATAATTATTATTGTTCTAGCACCTCAAGGATTACCATTACATCATGGTGAAAGTAAACTAACTGATGCTTTCAATCAAACATCTGTTATAAATGCAAATTATGGTACCATCGAAACCAAAGATCCAACCCAAGAAGCATATGATCGTTACGTCAAGTTACCACCCGTGAACAATATGTAATTAGTTAAATTCATTTACTATGCGCTTCACTATTATTATTATTATTTATTACTATTATTATTTATTATTATATTATTATTATTATTGTCATTATTATCATTATTATTATTATTATTATTATTATTATTATCATTATTACTATTATTATTATTATTGTTATTATTATTATTATTATTATTATTATTATTATTATTATTATTATTATTATTATTATTATTATTCTTATTATTATTACTATTATTATTATTATTATTAT